GCTGCTATTATCTATCAGTTTTGCATGTTCTTCTATATTTTGCGATTTTCCTCCTGTCATCATATAATATGCATTTTCCAATTCTTTTTTTTTCTTTCTATTCAAGGATAGGTTTTTCTCCAGTTCGCTCATGTTTTCCTTTGGTGTACTAGAATATCAACAGATCGATCTCATTGTTCATAGACCTATATATAGAGACTGATTTCTTTGCAATAAATGAAGAATGTGTATTGAACACATTCTTCTTTGTCTATTATTCAATGGGAACAACAATTTTTTTCGAACGAAATGACTTTGAACTATTTCATTTTTTTTAGACCTAATCAATACCTCATCTTTCAATATTCAATTAAACTAATCCAAACTCATATGTATTTAATCGTGATGACTGAAATACTTAAATTTACTTTTGATTTCATTTCACGCAAGATTTACGTTTTACATAGATTAACATGTAAATCAATATTTTTTTAAGTGAATGCAAGTCCGAGTAGACGTTTTCATCCGCTTAAGTAGTATCGTATAGGTTTTTTTTCATTTATGTTATTACTAAATACATGAATGAAGCAATTTTTCCTTAAAGTGTGATAAAACGGTAAAAATATTTTTGCGTTGCTCTGAGACAATCATCTTTTCTATTGACTTTCAATCGGTAACATTTATCACACTAACTTTCCTCTAGTTTTAGTTAAGTTTAGAATCTTTCACACGAACTAACATCTAATTTACGACTAAAACAATATTATATCAATCTTACTTTATCAAACCAATTTCCATTTGATAGTAATGATCTTTCAATGTTTGAATTAAATGAACAATTAGTAATGAGTAAAAATGTACTATCAACTAAGAATTGTTCAAGATTCGGTACACATTCAATGAAATCTTCAAGAAAACATGCATATTTGATGTAAATATGTAAACGGCGTAGAGTTCTACAATATGATTGAAATCCATGAAGTATTGCATTTGATGGACGAGAATATAAATTTAAATATTGATCGTCATGCCCATATGCTTTGCTAATATCGAGTTGAAAAGAAGTTAAATGGCACCGATCAGACAATATCTGACATAACAATTCTTGAAACATGGCCATTAATTTTTCTATTCAATCAAAAACAAAAAAAAACTCAAATCAATTTCAATCATTAACATTTCAAATAAAATTGTTTATTTTTTCGGTCCAATAATTTATATTCGTTTTCTTAGATCCACTTGTTATGTTTATTCATGTAATTAAAGCATATTTACAAGAATTTTATGTTCTATTAACTTAACTACCGAGTTCGAAAGCTAATTAAATAAATCTTATTCTTACAAATATTCAAATAGATAATAAACAAAGAAAATTGATCATTAATTTTTGTATTGTCAAATTATTATTAGAGACATAAAAACTTGGAAGTCAATTTCTTTTACATCCATGTATGAGTGATCTCATTTTATGAAATATTTCGATTGAGTTTGTTTCTGAAGTATCAATTAAAAGTAGAAAAATGATCCTTTGAATAGTTTTATTATACATGCAATATTCACTGATGATTTATTTTTGTTCCACTCTAATGCAAGTATTTTGGAAAACTTTAGTTATTCATTTATAATTAGTAAAATATATAGATTAAACTACACAAATGCTTCTCAATAAGATCTTCTCGATAGTTAAACCATATGGCTTTCAAAGTAGAAACTTAATTAACGCTGTTTAATAATACAGAAAATGAAAATTTCACTAATGATCATCTTAAAATATCTTCTATTATAATTATATAAACCATATTTTCAAAAAATATATTGATAACTTTGATACAATTGTTGTAACTTTCCATCTTTTTTCCCTTTTATACAATCTTATTATGAACAAACATCCAATTTGTTAGTATCATGAGAGTTGAATCTTCCTCAATGAACTACTATACAAAGAAAAAGATAGATATTATATGACCTTATTGGTATGTTACAAAGAAACACAAATAGTTATTACTATTTCACTACTATAAACTATCAAATCAGTTAGCTTTCGATAAACTAGCGATTTGGCCCAAATAGATCTTGTTACTCAATCTGTTTTACCGTTTCATATTCTCTGAATGTCAATTATAAAATCTTCTACAGACAAGCATCACTGTAAGGCTTGATATCTATCGGATTAGGCTGTATTTATTTTATTCAATCGATCACACAACTATATATATGAAGTCAAGAAACTAGAATAGAAGAGACAAATGTACGAGAATGTTGAGAGAGGACAATATGAAGTGAAATATTGAGAGACTAAAACAATGAAAATTGGCAGAAAGCGATAAGCTTATAAATGTAGGGAAAGTATAATACAAAGGAGACGGAGAGAAATAGATAGTACAAAAGAGGAACGGGAGTCTAGGCAACAACGTTCTCAATTAGGATAGTTTCCACTTCTACAATTGTCCTACTTTCTACTTTTTTCTAGCAGAAAGTGGAACAAAGTAGACAGAAAATGTTGTTCCAAGGTAAATATAACTGAACCAGACACCAGAGCAGAGAGTTGCAAGTGGCGTGATGGCAGATCATCTCTTGTGCGAAGAGCCAAGTCATGATACGTTTCATGCGTTTCTCTGAACTTTCTACCGAATTTTCAGCTTCCTCTCCTAAAAAATATTGACAACCCTGATAAGGTGTAATAGAAGATGAGGAACCACACAGATATAGAACAGAAAACAAAAGAACAGCTACGCGTAATAAATCCAAAAGGAATCTATGAACTTTTAACCACTATCAAATTGCACAGAGAGAAAAAAAATGAATATGATACGAATAGAAATGATGGTATGGTCTTGGCGAAAGTAAAATTAATAACAACCATAGTTTTTATGGCGATCCTCTTTATCAATGTGCACACCCTCAAGCTGGCTTTGTGAAGTTAAAAAAATCTATTACACATAAACAACTATTACTTCTAATTTAATAACAAGAGCCACTGTCGAACCAGTGGGAGCTGTTCGACGTATGATATATATGATTAGTTTTTAGGCCATTGATTTACATGTTTTATTATGCGTTGAATTGAAAAATCGGCAGACTCAACTATGATACGATTCGCTCTTTTCTGGTTGTAGTTTATTTAGTAGAATTTCATCGTAGTCGATGCTTAAAAAGTTGTTTTTCTAAACTTTATATTATTTCTATTTTGGAAGATATAAGATAAACTACATGAATGAACTTGATAAAAGAAAATTTTTAAGTAGGGAAAGGTTTCAAGAAAATCTTTACAATTTCTGTTTTTTAGAAATTCGATTTGTATACTAGAATAGACCATTAACATCATATGTATGTTATAGTGATCGAAAGATCGTATTGTTTTTCGCATGTACTTAAGAATGTGTAATCCACTTTCTCATTTCTCCTGGAAACAATGAAGAAAAAGGAGGTCTTTTCAGAGAGAAATACAAAATACAATTAAAGCATAAATTAAGTTACACTTTACTTATTATGGTCACGCGTACGTCCTCGGAACAGCTGTGACTCCAACTCGTATCTTTATGCATAGTTAACTCTATGCTTGTTTTCTGTTTATTTTTTTTTTGAAATTGCTGGAGATGAAGTACACATTCAATCGTACATGCTCGAAAATACAGAAATGAGTGAAAAAAAACTAGTCAACGCAACCATTAACTATGGAGCTAATACATGTAACTCATATTTTTATAATAGACAAACAAGTATAAGTAATTTAGTGTATTTTTTTATGTAATTGAACATAATTTAAAGATAGGAAGATAGCAACTGTTTTGAATGAGCGCCTATCTACAGTGGCTTGAAGAGATACTTAATCTAACTGTGACGTAGTAGCCGTATACAGAGTGAAAGTATCTGTGAGGATCGAGAACGTAAAATCTCGATATAAGTTTATCTTCAAATTTCTATGGGTGAGTTATACGAAAGATCTTACAGATTCGAACGTATAGAAAAAAATAATAATTCGTAAGAAACTAGTAGAGTTCAGATATTTTCTTTTATTCTACCCAATAGAACCCTTAATTATGTACAAAAACAAAATGAATTACACTGTTCAGGTGAATTGAGCACATTTGTATGTATATATTTTAAAATATACTGATCTGTTTTTCTATGAATATAATCTCGAAGATAATGAAGAAATTTTTCTCATCTTCAGATTTTAAAAACGAACAGTTAAATAAAAAAAAAATCATAACTCTGTTATGTCAGAAAGAATAGATGAAGTATTGAGAAGTTTTTTTTCTTATTTTCAATATATAATAATGTTAGACTTAACATTTATTTTATCTTATTAAAAATTGTACTCATTGAAATAATTTTTTCTTGAACATATTCCTACGCTTATCCAATATCCAAGTAAAATATATCGAAACAATGTTTTCCTTCAAATTGAAATAATTCTTAACAATAGTTAGTTCTCTTTTTCTCTTGTCAATTATGATTGGTATTGATAAAAAATCAATTTCTCACCAGTAACGTAATAATGGACAACTATCAAGCAAATCCTCAACTAACTAGATAAACCACTATGATAATATAGCATAAAAAAACCTTCAATGATGATCGACTTTTTTCTTGTCTAAATATGCCTATGATAAAGATGTCTAGTGTCTAACGAGTTACAGAGCCACATTTTTATTTGTTGAAGCTCGAAAACAGGGAAAACTTCGGACACGAATTCGACCAAGTTTAGAAGGATTCAAAGCTACTTACTAGTACCACGAAAGTATCCAGTTGTTATCGTAAATCTTTCGCATAATCATCTACTAAATAGAGGTCTGATAATTAGTGTCTTATACAAGTTAGTTTTTGTGCACTAGACAATGAATTCTAACTCATGAATAAAATATTTCGTTTCGGAAATAATCGAATATTGCTCCCAATTCTCATGTTGAAAAACAAATGTTACTGATAATAGATGGTTCAATTTCTATATGGAACAGACTTTTTTGTTCTAGTGATAATAAAATAAGATTTTGTTTTGAATAGATTTATGAGGTAAATTATTGATTACTTTTGTTAGAAATGCATAAATGTTTTTGTGAATCCTCAGATAAATTGAAAGCATCTTTATCCAATATTAATGTAAGGTGGTTTAATTGATGTTGAATAAGCATAGATAATGTTTGAATTAATGTTTGAGATAATGAACATTCAGTAATATAAAGTGATCTAAGATTAGGAAAAATCCTTTGTTTATTAGTATTATAGAAAAAACAGATATTAATAAGATCACAAGAAGTTGAATTAATTCCACCAAAATGAATGTATTTAATTGACGAGGAAACCGATAATGAATTGCATATTAATGGTAATAATATTGAGGAAAATGTTCGATACGATAAACCCGGTTTATTAACAATAATTCCATTTTTACTCATTGAAAATATTGAACAAACAAGAGAATTAATGCGTTCATTTAATGACCATAATGATATTAACATGTCATCCCATGATAAATAAGAAAATATATTTAATAATATTTCATTTGGAAATCTTTCTAATTTACTTATCATTTTATCTTCAAATAAAAAAGTTATAATTTTATTTTATCAAAAGACAAACAATGAAAAGGAAAAGATTGTAAAATTAGATATATTGGCAAAGAAGCGAAAGTATTAAGTATTTCATTAAATATTCTACTTATCATCGAACTATTTCGTAGTTACAATATCAAAATGAATATAGTTAGCTTGGACTTAATTTTAACAAAACCAGTTTTACTTTTAGAATTATTCTGAAAGTAAAAAAGAACAAAATTGATATGAAAGGTAATATTATTTAGCTAAGCAATGAACTTTTCCTCGTCCAAATACTTTTTATAAAAAGAAAACGAAGGAAAACGCATATTTTTATATTTCTAATAT